ACTGTTTATGTGAGGAAGCCAATGTTAGAGACACGGGCCGCTGGTTTATTATAGAGGGCCATGATCCCTGCAATAAAGGCTGGAGAGAAGCCGAATTTCAACATCACTGGTTTCATGTAATTCCAGTTTAACATGTCAAAGGCTTTCTCGGTGTCTAACGCCAGAAGAAAGTCCCGATGCATCTGGAATTCAGATAGGAAAATATTTTCAAAAGGGATATAGGCCTGGAATTTTGGCAGTAGATAAGGGGCTTGCCTGGTTTCGGTACAGTAGAAATGTGGGCAAATAGCATGTCACTGGGAAATGACACCTTGGAGTAGCAGGTGTTGAAGTCAGCTAAATATGGGAATAGGGTATCCACAAATGTCTGGTAGTAAACATTTGTGTAGCCGTCTGGCCCTGGTGCTTTGTGTTTGGGTAGTTGGTGTAGGGTGTTTTTGACTTCAAGGGTGTCAAAGGGCATCTATCTATCTATAGATCTATCTCTCTATTTCTATCAATCTATCAATCTCTGTCTATCAATCTATTTCTATCTATCACTTTCTATCTATATCTCTATTTCTCTCAATCTATTTCTATCTATGTCTATCAATCTCTATCTATTTCCAGTGCCTCCTGTGTCCTGATAGCATGTTCAATGACTTCAGCTAAGCGTCAAGACATCAAACGTGAGTCCTGCGCATCAGGCAGGAATTAACTCGGAAGTTCCTGTGGTGGCCATCTGAGTCACTGCCACTGGAGGTGTTCCTTGGCTCTAAGCTAAACACTGAAAATACAGTGTTTACATGAAAAAGCCTGCAGGAAGCTATTGTACTCACCTGAATAACCCCATTAAATGACCACTTCAGCTTCAGCTTAATGAAGCGGTCTGGGTGCCAGGTCAATCTAGGATTAACCCTGCCTGCTGTAAACATAGCAGTTTTTAGAGAAACTGCTATGTTTACAAATGGGTTAATTCAGCTGCTAGTGGCTGTCTCATTGACAGCCGCTAGAGGCGCTTCTGCGCTTCTCACTGTGATTTTCACAGTTAGAAGACGCCAGCGTCCATAGGAAAGCATTGAGAATGCTTTCCTATGGACTGGCTGGATGCGCTTGTGGCTCTTGCCGCGCATGCGTATTCAGCCGATGACGACCGAATGAGGAGGAGAGTCCCCAGCGCCCGGCGCTGGAGAAAGGTGAGTGTTTAACCCCCTTCCTCCCACTTCAGCCTGGCGGGAGTGGGACCCTGAGGGTGGGGGCACCCTCAAGGCACTATAGTGCCAGGAAAACAAGTTTGTTTTCCTGGCACTATAGTGGTCCTTTAAGCTAAGTTTTTTCAGGTGACTATAGTGTCCCTTTAAAATATGGGGTGCTGATTTTACACAGCTGAGTCAAATTGAATGGCAGGTTACATAATTTTCCCTGAACCAACAAAAGTATAACTATAAAACCAAAGCAGCACAAATAAAAATGTTAATGGCACAAACCAGCACAAACATAGCTCTAACCAACCAGCCAAGTTTCATGTCTTTTGGCTTTTGTAGGGGGGGCTAGGTGATCTTTGGTGACCATTATTACATTTTTAATAACTAAAAAACAAAATGAGAGAGGACGGAGACCAGACCATTTTTCAATTTTCTTACCGTTAAGGACCAGGGCTCTCTTTACATTTGTGCAGTGTTTGTGTTTAGCTGCAATTTTCCTCTTACTCATTTACTGTACCCACACATATTATATACCATTTTTTCGCCATTAAATGGTCTTTCTAAAGATACCATTATTTTCATATCATATATTTTACTATAAGTTTTTTTTTTATAAAATATGAATAACCCTTCACATGTATATATTTTTTAAAAGAAGACAATCTAAGGAATAAACTTGGGGTATTTTGACTCTTTTCGTGCTCTTTTTATGCAACCATTTTACCACCAATCTATGCCAAATTAAAAAAAAAAAAAAATTGGTGATTTTTTTGACACACATAGCAATTTAAGAATATATGTACGGAGAACTTTAAGGGTTACTGCCAAAGAACAACCCCATATGTGTTCAGCAACATCTCCTGAGTACAACAGTGACCCCAATGTACAGATCTTATGGGTTTTTGCAAACGTACAGGGGTCAAATGTAGGGCTTTTCCATGTTTGCACATTGAAATTTGCCAGATGGGTTTGCTGGGCCTATGTTGCCTTTGAGACCGTATAGCAGCCCAGGAATGAAAATTAACCCCATCACGGCACACCATTTGTAAAAGAAGACAACACACAGTATTCAAAATGGGGTATGTTCAGACTTTTGTGGTAGCCACATAGTCACAAACGCTGGCCAAAGTTAGTATTTTTATTAGTTTTTTTGCATTTTTTTTACACAAAAACTGCACTTTTACTTGTGATGTCATCGTTGTGATAAGTTTTACTGTTGTAAACACTCATAGTTGTGTTCAGTGAAGTCTCATGAGTATAACAATATGTACAGGTTTTATGGTGTTTTGGAAAGTAACAGGGTCAATATAGCTTGCCCAATTCAGTTTGACAGATTGGTTTCTGGGTCTGTGTTGCTTTTTGAGACCATATGGTAGCCCAGGAATGTGAAATAACCCCATCATGGTATACCCTTTTCAAGTGTAGACAACTTAGGATATTCAAAATGGGGTATTTCCAGTCGTTTATAGTAGCCACTTAGCCACAAACACTTGCCAAAGTTGGCGTTTTTATTTGTTTTTTATTAAAAAAAATGCAATTTATATAATATATATATAGATATATAGATAGTAATAAAACAAATTGTCTGCACTCACGTTCTTCCATAGAAAAATGTTTCCTTTATTCCAACATGTAGATCAACATTTCAGTCCTCTTAGCGACTTTCATCAGGATCAAATCATACAATATTAATGCAACAGTGGCAGAATATATAGCTATAATAATTAAGAAAAGTGACTTGCCCCAGGTGAAATGTGTTAATCCCGGCGTCCCAATGTGCTTACCGCGCATGTCTGTGAGGCCACGCCTCCCTCCGTGATCATGCAGCAGTCACATGATGACGTCGCATACCACCGTTGTCATAGGGCAACCATCACCATGGTTACCATGGTTTCAACTGGGGTAAGTCACTTTTCTTTATTATAACATATTCTGCCACAGTTTCATTAATATTGTATGATTTGATCCTGATGAAAGTCCTTGGGAGGACTGAAACATTGATCTACATGTTGAAATAAAGGAAACCTTTTTCTATGGAAGATTGTGAGTGCAGACCATTTGTTTTTTTAACTTTGTATGCTGAAGCCCCAGGTTATATATATAAAAAGGCAGTTTTTTTAGCCTGAGTGCAAGGACTATCAATTGTTATATATATATATATATATACATACATACATACACACATGCACATATACATACAGGGGCGGACTGAGAGCCTTTGGGGCCCCCGGGCAAAATTAGATCCCAGGCCCTTTGAAGGCCAAATATATGTGCATTTTAATAAATGTTAAATGTAATTCATAATACGGCATTCCTTTGGATGTGTGTATTGTGAAGACCTGTGTATCAATGCATGTTTGTATTTGAGTCTGTGTGAATGCACTTGTGCATGTCTGGATGACTACATGTGCTTTTTTGTATATAGTGTCTGTGTGAATGCATATGTGACAGGTGACAGAGGGTGTGAGGGAGAAGGTGACAGGTGGCAGAGTGAGGAGGTACCTGGTGGCAGAGTGAGGGAGGGGTTGAGTGGTGGCAGAGTGAGGGGGAGACACAGTGAGTGGGGGTGACTGGTGACAGAGTGAGGGAGTGGGTGACTAGTGACAGAGGGAAGGAGAGGGGGAGACTAGTGACAGAGGGAGGGAATGGAAGACTAGTGACAGAGTGAGGGAATGGGTGACTAGTGGCAGAGTGAGGGAGGGAAGGGGTGACTAGTGACAGAGTGAGGGGATGACTGGTGACAGAGTGAGGGGGGGGGGTGACTGTCACCAGTCACCCCATCCCTCTCTCTGTCACTAGTTACTCCCTCCCTAACTCTGTCACTGTGTCACCCGCTCCCTCACTCTGTCACTAGTCACCCCCTTACTCTGTCACTGTGTTACCCCCTCCCTCTGTCACTAGTCACCCCCTCCCTCACTCTGTCACTAATCACCCCTCTCTCCCTAGTCACCCCCTTCCTCACTCTGTCACTAGTCACCCCATCCCTCTCTCTGTCACTAGTCACTCCCTCACTCTGTCACTGTGTCACCCCGTCCCTCACTCTGTCACTAGTCACCCCATCTCTCACTATGTCACTAGTCACCCTCTCCCTCACTATGTCACCTCACTCTGTCACTAGTCACCCCCTCTCTCACTCTGTCACTAAGGACAGAGAGGGTGATTAGTGACAGAGTGAGGGAGGGGGTGACTAGTGACAGAGTGAGGGAGCAGGTGACACAGTGACAGAGTTAGGAGGGAGTGACTAGTGACAGAGGGATGGGGTGACTAGTGACAGTCACCCCTTCCCTCACTCTGTCACTAGTCACTCACTCTGTCACCTGTCACTCCCTCACTCTGTCACTAGAGTGAGGGGGTGACTAGTGACAGAGTGAGGGAAGGGGTGACTAGTGGCAGAGTGAGGGAAGGGGTGACTAGTGGCACAGTGAGGGAAGGAAGGGGTGACTAGTGACAGAGTGAGGGAGGTGGTGACTGTCACTAGTCACCACCTCCCTCACTGTCACTACTCCCTCCTTCTGTCACTAGTCACGCCCTCCCTCACTCTGTCACATGTCATCCCCTCCCTCACTCTGTCACCAGTCATCCCCTTCCCTCACTCTGTCACCCCCTCACTCTGTCACTAGTCACCCCCTCACTCTAGTGACAGAGTGAGGGAGGGGGTGACTTGTGACAGAGTGAAGGAGGTGGTGACTGTCACTAGTCACCCCCTCCCCTCCCTCACTCTGTCACTAGTCACCCCCTCCCTCACTATGTCACTAGTCACCCCCTTCCTCACTATGTCACTAGTCACCCCCTCTCTCACTCTGTCACTAAGGACAGAGGGGTGATTAGTGACAGAGTGAGGGAGGGGGTGACACAGTGACAGAGTGAGGGAGGGGGTGACTAGTGACAGAGTGAAGGAGGTGGTGACTATCACTAGTCACCCCCTCCCTCTCTCTGTCACTAGTGACACCCTCCCTCACTCTGTCACTAGTGACACCCTCCCTCACTCTGTCACTAGTCACCCCCTCCCTCTCTCTGTCACTAGTCACACCCTCCCTCTCTCTGTCACTAGTCACACCCTCCCTCTCTCTGTCACTAGAGTGAGGGGGTGACTATTGACAGAGTGAGGGGGTGACTATTGACAGAGTGAGGGGGGTGACTAGTGACAGAGTGAGGGGGGTGACTAGTGACAGAGTGAGGGGGGTGACAGAGTGAGGGGGTGGCAGAGTGAGGGGGGTGACAGAGTGAGGGAAGGGGTGACTAGTGACAGAGGGAAGGAAGGGGTGACTAGTGACAGAGGGAAGGAAGGGGTGACTAGTGACAGAGTGAGGGAGGGAGTGGGTGACACAGTGAGGGAGGTGGTGACTAGTGACAGAGTGAGGGAGGTGGTGACTGTCACTAGTCACTAGTCACCACCTCCCTCACTCTGTCCCTAGTCACCCCTCCCTCTGTCACTAGTCACCCCCTTCCTCACTCTGTAGTCACCCCTTCCCTCCCTAACTCTGTCAACTAGTCACCACTTCCCTCCCTCACTCTGTCACTAGTCACACCCTCCCTCACTGTCACTAGAGTGAGGGGGTGACTAGTGACAGAGTGAGGGAAGGGGTGACTAGTGACAGAGTGAGGGAGGTGGTGACTGTCATTAGTCACCACCTCCCTCTGTCACTACTCCATCCCTCCTTCTGTCACTAGTCACCCCCTAACTCACTCTGTCACCAGTCATCCCCTCACTCTGTCACCAGTCATCCCCTCACTCTAGTGACAGAGTGAGGGAGGGTGTGAGTAGTGACAGAGTGAGGGAGAGGGTGACTAGTGACAGAGTGAGGGAGAGGGTGACTAGTGACAGAGAGGGGGGGTGACTAGTGACAGTGAGGGGGGGTGACTGGTGACAGTGAGGGGGGGTGACTGGTGACAGTGAGGGGGTGACTAGTGACAGTGAGGGGGTGACTAGTGACAGTGGGGGGGTGACTAGTGACAGTGAGGGGGTGACTAGTGACAGTGAGGGGGGTGACTAGTGACAGTGAGGGTGGTGACTAGTGACAGTGGGGGGGTGACTGGTGACACTAGCTGACGCAAGTGACAAGTGGGAGGGGTGACTAGCGGCTATGGGGGTGGACTAGTGACAGTGAGGGGGGTACCTCAGTGACAGTGAGGGGGGTGACTAGTGGACAGTGGGGCTGGACTAGTGACAGTGAGGGGGTGACTCAGTGACAGTGGGGGGTGGGATCAGTGACAGGAGGGGTGACCAGTGACAGTGGGGTGACCAGTGACAGCGAGGCGGACTAGTGACAGGGAGGGGGGTGACTAGTGACAGTGGGGTGACCAGTGACAAGGGGAGGGGGGTGACCTAGTGACAGTGAGGGGGTGACTAGCATTGCGGGGGGGTGACTAGTGACAGTGGGGGGGTGACTGGTGACAGGAGGGGGTGACTCAGTGACAGGAGGGGGGTGACTAGTGACAGTGGGGGGTGACTAGTGACAGTGAGGGGGTGACTAGTGACAGTGGGGGGGTGACTAGTGACAGTGGGGGGGGTGGTGACTAGTGACAGTGAGGGGGGGGGAGGGGGTGGTTGGTGCCTACCTGCATCTCTGCTCCCTCTTCTCTCCCAGGCTGCTGCTCCTTCTCGGCTCTGTGTGAGAGGAGTAAACAGGAAGTGATGTCACTTCCTGGCCCCGCCTCTCCCATCACACAGAGCCGCATGGGAGAGGAAGCAGGAGACCTGGCAGGGAGGAGGTGAAGCTGCCAGGTCTCCATGGGGGGGGGGGTGTGACTAGCAGAGCGGTAGGTTGTGGGGGCCCCGCGCTGCATCAGGGGCCCCACAACCTATCAATTAAAAAGTTTTATTTTATTATTTTGCCGTTCCAGTTGGAGAGATCTCTGATCTCTCCAGCTGGAGCATGGCTGTGCTGCCGGGCCCCTGACTGCCTCGGGCCCTCGGTCCATGACCGAAGTGCCCGAGTGGTCAGTCCGCCCCTGCTCATGCCTTTATAGATCCCAGAGGTGCAGAATGCTGAGAAATGTTTGATTAGAAAAAGGCAGACAAAATAACATCACACAAACCACGTGACTTTACTTTCGATGTGTTGCTTGGTGCTTGATGTGTTCTGAAGATGCTCTTGCAAAAACGTATTTCCTGTAAATTGGAAAATTATGTTTGACCAGACACAGATACAATTCCCAGGTTATGTAATGTAGGCTGAGGGATTGATTCATCCAGCTACATTGACCACAGTCCTAGAGTGGCAGTTACCTATGCAAGCTGATCATGAGCTGGAACCCAATAGCAGTGACACAGCACACTCTTATTAACATGACCTCTAGGAAAAGCTGGAGGTAAGGACAGGAGCCTAGGTGATAAAATGATTAGAACTGTGACAGCTGACATTTAATGTGGATAAGTGCACCTTGGACGTAAAAACCCAAGGGCAGAGTACAGAATATTTGATAGTCCTAACCTCAACATCTGAGGAAAAGGATTTATTGGTAATTATTTAAGATGATTTAAAGGTGGGAAGACAATGTAATAGAGCAGCAGGAAATGCTAGCAGAATGCTTGGGAAGAAGGAAGTGCTCATGCCATTGAACAGAACACTGGTGAGAACTCACCTGTAGTATTGTATGTAGTACTGGAGACCGCATCTCCAGAAGGAAATTGATACTTTAGAGAGAGTTCAGAGAAGGGCTACTAAACTGGTTCATGGATTGCAGGATAAAATTTACCACGAAAGATTAAAGGATCTGTATTGCTTTGAAAGACAAGACAGGGGAGATATGATAGAAACATTTAAATACATAAAGGGAATCAACACAGTAAAGGAGGAGACCATATTTAAAAGAAGAAAAACTACAACAAGAGGACATAGTCTAAAATTAGAGGGGCAAAGGTTTAAAAATCATTTCAGGAAGCATTACTTTAATGAGAGGGTAGTGGATGCATGGAATAGCCTTTCAGCTGAAGTGGTAGAGGTTAACACAGTAAAGGAGTTTAAGCATGCGTGGGATTGGCATAAGGCTATCCAAACTATAAGATAAGGCCAGAGGCTAATGAAAGTATTTTAAAAATTGGGCAGACTAGATGGGCCGAATGTTTTTTATCAGCTGTCACATTCTATGTTTCTGTGGTGGCACATGGCCTTTATTAATGGACAATGAAAAAATAAACAAAATCCAACTGAGATGTCCCAGAGAAGCAGGTCTGGGGTCAGGGGAGACAACAAAGGTTCATAAATGGATTAACATAGCCAAGTCCATGTAGCCAGAAGATCCAATTGCCCTGGAAGAAGGGTACAGGGAAGGAATAGGTGCAGCAGCAGTTTCATCGGTAGTCTTAGCCAAAGCTTCAGAATACCCAAGCACTGGACTGAGCGAACTCTGAGGTTTCCTGTTTATAAGGACGGCCTCTTCCTGCAGCTGGATTATCACATTATTCAATAAATTATGGTAGGTGTGACAACTCCATCTAGGTACATAGTTGCAGCAGAAATTGAGGCCAGAACTACAACCCTGGACAGCATGGACAGCCACAGCTTGGCATGGAGGATACAGAAGGCAATGTTGGTGGCAAGGAACAGGTAAGGGCTTATCCCTAGGACTGAGTCTCAAGACTATCCACAGATTCCTAGATTTTGCCAACTACTATAAGAAATTGTCAAGGTAATTGCCCCAAATCACTAACATGACCAATAAATTGGCTGATATATGACACTGGCCTACGTAAGTTGTCTGTGCCTTTGAGACCCTTAGGAAGGCATTTGCTTCCACACCTGTGCTAATGCATTCAGGCATTCTCTATCATGTATTCTTCAGTGTGATGCCTCAGAAATTGACATAGGGGCTGTACTGTCAAAGATCTTTCATTTACATCCCTGTGGCTAATACCTATTGCAGGATGAACAGAACTATGACTAATCTGGAACAGTTAGAAATAGCCCAGGCTGTTAAGGAATGGCATCACTTGCTAGAAGGTACAACCCTTCCTCTCACAGTCATTAAGGATCACAACAATCTATCATACATAAACAATGCGAAGAGATTATTAGCTAGACAAGCCCACTCGTCACTCTTTCTATTCAGGTTTTTTGTTTTTTTTTGCAATTTGTATTTTATTATTATTATTATTATTGTCATTTATATAGCGCCAACAGATTCCGTGGCGCTGTACGATATTATGAGAGGGAGGATTTAACTATAAATAGGACAATTACAAGAAAACTTACAGAAACGATAGGTTGAAGAGGGCCCTGCTCAAACAAGCTTACAGTCTATAGGAGGTGGGGTATAAAACATATTAGGACAGGAAATAGCAATCAAATAAGGTGGGAGTGTACCTGCATCTGGAGGACCAGCATTATTTACATCACCTCATATCCTTAGACGGGGATCATACCGTCCAGGCGCTATAAAGCAGAGCTCTTATTTAGCTCTTGTAAATGTGAGTGGTTCTCCTACAGTTATCAATTCAATATTTCTCACTTTGTTAAAATTGTACTGCACTATTATTGTCTGTTTTTTATTCTGAGGTCCTCAACTAGCCTTCCTTACTACAACTGTATGTACGTATGTTCTTGGACGCAGTATACGTTTTATTCTGTTTTTTGCAAGACTAGGGGAGAGTCTGATGGTGGTAGGCAGGTTTTTCCATAGGAAGGGAGCCGAACGCAAGAAGTCCTGCAAGCGTGAGTTGGCCGTACAGGTGTGAGCAGCGGACAGGAGAAAGTCATGGGAGCCAGCAATATTGGCTCTATTTGATAGTAGTGGGTTGTCATCAATTTGTGGAAATTATCAGTGTTTTTATCTGTAAGTGTTTTCTGAATTTTCTGAAAACCACATACAGTCGGTGGTTAAAATTAAGTATAGCAAATGTATTAAACAATATGTAAAATCTTACATGTATGCTTAAAATCATCCACATACACTACCATACCTCTTTCCTCTAACACAGTGGAGAGGATCTAACAGGGCCAAGTTTCATCTCCTTTTATAAGCCACTAGAGAAGCTATAAGTAGAAAACAAATAGAAGTACTGTTTTTGCATCACTACATCAAAGTCTTCAGCCATCCAGGTAACTCCAAGACATATGCATCTGCTAGAAGTTTCTGTTGGCCCGACGTGTGTAAAGATGTTAAGAGGTACGTACAAGCCTGTACTGTACGTGCCCAGAAAAGGCCTCGCAGCAAATGCCCTGAGGGCTATTGCAGTTTTTACCAGTTCCCTGTTAAGCATGGTCACACAATTGACTTTATGGTTGAACTTTGACCTTCTAATGGAATGACGATTATCCTAATAATTGCGGATCATTTTTCAAAGACGACACACTTAGTAGCCCCTTGCCAATTTGCCATGTTCTTAGTAAGTTAGCAGACATCTTTGCTAAAGAAGTATTCAGGGTACATGCATTTCCATGTGAGGCTATTTCTGAGAGGGGTATTCAGTTTGTATCCAAGTTCTGGAGAGGGATTGGCACACAAACTGGCATAAAACTGTCTTTCTTATCTGCGTGTCATCTACAAACTAATAGGGCTGCCAAAATGGTTAAAACAATACCTTAAAGGGAAACTACAGTGCCAGGAAAACAATCCGTTTTCCTGGCACTGCAGGTCCCCTCACCCTCCCACCCCCCAATCCCCAGTTGCTGAAGGGGTGAAAACCCCTTCAGTAACTTACCTGAGGCAGCGACGATGTCCCACGTCGGTGCTTCTTCCTCTGCGCCGCTCCTCCCTCTAATTGTGTTGGCTGGGCGAGACTGATCCCGCCCACCAGCCGGTGTGGACCTAATGCGCATGCATTAGCGCTCCCCATAGGAAAGCATTGAAAATGCATTTCAATGCTTTCCTATGGGGAAATGAGCGACGCTGGAGGTCCTCACACAGCGTGAGGATGTCCAGCGACGCTCTAGCACAGGTTTCCTGTGCTAGAAACCAGGAAGTGTCCTCTAGTAGACAGTCACTAGAGGTGGAGTTAACCCTGCAAGGTAATTATTGCAGTTTATAAAAAACTGCAATAATTACACTTGCAGGGTTAAGAGTAGTGGGAGTTGGCACCCAGACCACTCCAATGGGTAGAAGTGGTCTGGGTGCCTGGAGTGTCCCTTTAAGTGTTTTATTCTCAGCACCAGTATTTTGGGTGAACCGGTTTTCCTGTTTACCAGTAGCCTCAGGGCACAGACTTTTCTACGAGACCTATGGTGACAACCCAACTTTCCTATCAGGTTCCTTCTGCAAAAATGGGATGTCCACATTGGACAAATGCTTGACAGACCAACACCATACCTGGGACCAGGTTCACAGCATCCTGACTAAATACATGGTGACCAGAAAGGTTTCTCAGTCACCATCAAATTGTAGCCCCTTCGTAATAAGTATGTGACAGGGTTTGGCTATCCAATTAAAATATATGCCTTAGAGTACCCTTTATTAAATTCTCCCCTAGATTAATAGCTCCCTTCAAGATTGTGTGCAAAATCACCCTGTTTCATATGCCCTTAAATTACCCAGAAACCTGCGCATACCTAAAATATTCCATACTTACCTGCTTAAACCCTTGTTGTCATAGACATAACTTTTGCCTCATAAATTAAGCTGGGCCACTTCTAACGACTGGTAATACATTATATTTGTCTTACCATCTTGCATGATTGCTATTTCCTGTCCTAATGTATTTTATACCCCACCTTCTATAGACTGTAAGCTCGTTTGAGCAGGGTCCTCTTCAACCTATCGTTTATGTAAGTTTTCTTGTAATTGTCCTATTTCTAGTTAAAACCCCCTCTTGTAATATCGTAAAGAGCTACGGAATCTGTTGGCTCTATATACATGGCGATAATAATAATAATAATAATAATAATAATAATGGTGCTCCATAATAAATCATTTCATTTTCTGTAAAGACGGTCAAACTAGTTGCTTTTATGAAAAAAACTAAATATTGAAGAATATACTAGACGTAATGTAATATTAGAGGAAACAGCTTTCTGATTCAAACAGAAACCTGTCTGATCGCCATTTTGGAATCAAGAATTATTTGTTTTCCATTTTGTGGCAAAAATTGGAAATATTTAAATTAGTTTTTATTTTGCCTTCTTTTGGCTCAACAGCTGAAAGAGAGATGTGCAAATGGCTGAATACAATGCATTTATTTTTTTCCAGGTCTTATAACAATGTAACTTCATATAAAAATATGGTTTTTGACCACTGGGTGGCAACATTCCTACATAAAACATCTTATCGTACTTGCACTTCATTTGAGTTTGACATTTTGCTAAAGCAAGTCCTCTTGTTTTAAATTTGTCCTCCCTTTGGCTCTTGGCAAAACCTCCAAAGAAACTCTACTTTGCATGTGATGACATCGCCTCTATATCTAATAATCTAACCTGTATGTTTCTGGGACGATTTCAATTTATTCATAATTTTATATTTAGATAAATTGTCATTTATATCAAAGCTATTCCTTATTCCCCATTATTCCCCTTACTACCATGGCCACCCTGTGCAACTCATCCTGTATCTGATACAATTTATACAAAGTATAAAGATGATTTGTTTTTGTTACATGTGAACCTGGAACTCCTCCGATTGATAGTAAAATCTATTTATCACCAATACTTAAAGGAACACTATAGGGTCAGGAATACAAACATGTATTCCTGATCCTCTAATGTTAAAAACATTATTTAGGAACCTGGCCCCCCTTTAAAGGTTTACTGACCTGAATCAATGCATCTCTGTGAGGAAAGTTTAGCGTCTCCATACAGTGTGCAGCACTGACCCAGGGAGCACGTTTAATGGCCGTCTGAGTAACTGCCACTGTCCCTAGATAGTAACGTAAACAATACCTATTAATGTGAAGTTATATTTGATGGATTTCATGTGAACTGTTTGGGTGCATTTTTTTAATGCCTGTAGTACCCTCTCTCAGCATTTCCTTCATTTCTTTCCCTGAGATCGCATGAAGTGGAACGCATATGCGTTCCACATGCCGAATGATGACGTCACCGCGGACCGCCGGCCGGTGGAACGCATATGCGTTCCACGAAAAAACGGAAGTCCTTATTTAGCAATGGACAGACGAGGCAACCAAGAACAGGTGATTCCGGCGTCCCTGATTGGAGGAACGAACGATAAGAAGACCTTTAAAAGGAACTCTGGACTTTCATACAATGTGATGCTTTATTTTATTTATTGTTATTGCATTATTATATTTTATTGTATCTTAATTCATTTTCTCCTGAGGAAGTCTCCATTTGGGAGACGAAACGCGTTGAGCTACACATCAAGGCTTATTTTGGGTCTCTCATCCAGCTGAAATCGATTGATATAGAGACTTATTGATGAGCTTTTTTATCTTCTACTTTTTGTAAGTGCAAACAATTAAAGTGTCATTTAATATTTAAACATTATTACACTATGTCCAGTTTTTTCTTTTAATATGTACCCTGGGATTCTGAGGACGTTGGTGGCTGAATATTGAAAGACATTCTGATGGGTTTTAACATTACAACATCTTGTGAGTGCAACATTTACTTAAAGGGGCCATATCTTTGATTTTATAGTATTGCCCTATGAATTTTTCTCTGTCCTGATTTTTTAGGTGTATCTTATATTCTATATTTGCATTTTGAGGACCTTTGAGGAACCCTCTTGTTACTACCTGATTTATAAGGGAAGTAATAACCTTTATTGTAATTTTTTATGCTGCACCTGGGTGGTCTACACTTTTATATATATATTTCAGTAATGTAAACACTGCCTTTTCTGTAAAAAGGCAGTGTTTACATTAAAATTCATGCAGGGACTCACAATACGCCCCAGAACAACTACATTAAGCTGTAGTTGTTATGGTGACTATAGTGTACCTTTAAGGTCCACGTGTTCAGTTTGAACTCTTAAAACTACAACAGAAGGTATAGTAGAAAATCCTATTTTACATCCAGGACTGTATTACATTATTTTGGGAACCAAAGTATGGCAAAGAGTCAAACGCTTCCATTAGAAAACTGAAACTATATCTTTAACAAATTGTACATTTTTGTTATTCTTTAAAGACTTATCATAACTGCGCACACATAAAAGAAAGATAAATCCTTTTCATATTTAACTCGATAAGGTGGTTCCTAAGAGATCCATTGTGAAATGACTTAATATATTTCCCATCCTTGTACCTTGTTCACTTTATGGCTGAATGGTGCAAATATGTTGGTATTCTGAGTTTCAGCTCTTATTAATGAGCGCATGTATAACGTATCAAATATTATAAAACTGCGGTAACAGGACTTCTCTCAACCCAATGCATAATGGAAAGAAAACCTAATTAATCAGTCCTCTGTAGAAATAATTGAATGCAACCAAGGAAAATGGGCAAAACTTCCACTTGCCCACTAGCCAATGGCAATAGAAAATTTAGCTATGGTAAGTAAAAATTCACATTTAATGAATGTGCCATGGACCCTCAAGGCTTGCAGTGGTGAGTAACTTTTATACTTGTATATTAGCGTATGACCTGAAATTGTGAGCCGTGACTTAGGTGACCTGGAATGGGCCGCTTTATTTGTTAGAAACAATCAGATTGGAATGCTGGTCACACAGCTTTGTAACTTGGCATTCCGGAGTGTTAATCAGGAATCCCTCACAGGCAACACTCAGCTCCTCAGATAAACTCAGTTCACACTACAGCTCGCCAAAGAACCAGTGGAAATTTCCACCGCACTAATAGCATGTGATCATCCTGTTTACCAAGAAAAAAAAAAACACTCACAAGGATTTTTGGTGTTTACACTGTACATTCCTCAGAAGTGATAACAGCCCAGGGGCGGGCTGGGCCGGGGGGCAGGGAGGCAATTGCCCCCCAGGCCGCCCTAAATTCCTGTAAGGCCGGCCGCGACGGGCCGGCCCTTTAAATACTGCAGCCGCCTGAGCGCTCTGTTAAGAGCCTCAGGCGGCTGCAGCTTCACCCCTGTAGCGTGGCCGAGCTGCACTCCGGTCCGCGGTGGCCGGCCGGCCGGAGTGATAGGAAGGTGCACACTGAGTGTGCACCTTCCTGTCAGTCCGACCGGTACAGGAAACAGAAACTCCTGTTCCGCGCGGAACAGGAGTTTCTGTTTCCTGTACCCGGTCGGACTGACAGGAAGGTGCACACTCAGTGTGCACCTTCCTATCACTCCGGCCGGACACCGCGGACCGGAGTGCAGCTCGGCCACGCTACAGGGGAGGGGGTAAGAAGAGAGGGAGGAGGGGGGGTAAGAAGAGGGGAGGGGAATAGAGGGGAGGGGGGGAATAAAAAGAAGGGAGGGGGGATAAGAAGAGAGGGAGGAGGGGGAGAGAATAGAGGGAGGAGGGGGAGAGAATAGAGGGGAGGGGGGAATAAAAAGAGAAGAGGGGGGGAATAAAAAGAGGGGAGGGGGGATAAGAAGAGGGGAGGGGGGATAAGAAGAGGGGGGAGAATAGAGGGGAGGGGGGAATAAAAAGAGAAGGGGGGGAATAAAAAGAGGGGAGGGGGATAAGAAGAGGGGAGGGGGGAATAAGAAGAGGGGAGGGAGGGGAATAAGAAGAGGGGAGGAGGGGAATAAAAAGAGGGGATAGGGGGAATAAGAAGAGGGGAGGGAGGGGAGATAAGAAGAGGGGAGATAAGAAAAAGAGGGGGTAAGAAGAAGAAGGGGTGAGTAAGAAAAAGATGGGGGAGTAAGAAGAAGAAGAGGAGGGAGTAAGAAAAAGAGGGGGGAGTAAGAAGAGGGAGAGGTGGAATAAGAAAAGGGGGAGGGCGGAGTAAGAAGGAGGGGAGGGCGGAGTAAGAAGGAGGGGAGATAAGAAAGAGGGGGGTAAGAAGAAGAAGAAGGGGTGAGTAAGAAAAAGAGTGGGGAGTAAGAAGAAGAAGAAGAGTGGGGGTAAGAAGAAGAAGAGGGGGTAAGAAGAAGGGGGAGTAAGAAGAAGAGGGGGAGTAAGAAGAAGAAGGGGGAGGAAGAGGAAGAAGAAGAAGGGGGTAAGAAGAAGGGGGGTAAGAAGAACAGGTGGGGGAGTAAGAAGAACAGGTGGGGGAGTAAGAAGAACAGGTGGGGGAGTAAGACGACCAAGGGGGGAAGTATGAAGAACACAGGGAGGAGGGGGGTAAGACGAACACAGGGGGTGTGAGGAGAACACATAGAGGGAGGAGTGAGAAGAACACAGGGAGGGTGGAGGGGGGATGAGAAGAGCACAGGGAGGGTGGGTGAGTGTGAGAAGAGACCGCTAGGGGAGGGTGGGGGAGAGGAGAGACCACTAAAGGTGCAGGGGAGAGCTCTACGGGACAGAAGGGGCAGCTCTATAGGACAGGGGCCAAGACAGGGAGCTCTTTCACACTACGCGCGTGCACACACACACAATGCATCCCTATACATACACAGAAACACAACATGCTTCCCTTACACACAGAGAAACACACAATGCATCCATTACACACACACACAATGCAACCCTTACACACAAAGACAATGCATCCTTTGCACACATACACAGAAACAGACAATGCAAACCCGTACACACACATGCAAACACACACACTTCTTTTCTTACATACACACAGAAACACAATGCATCTCTTACACTCAATGCACACACATACAGACACACACTTTGCATCCCTTATGCATACAAACACAGATTCACACAATGCATCCCTTACACACAACCAGAAACACATAATACATCCCTTATACACAAATACACACTGCTTCCACTACACACAAACACACTACATCACCTGCACAAACTGGTAACCCTATACACTACATACCATAAGCACACATATTAGATCCTCTACAATAACACATAACACATCCCCTACACACTCCACTCCCTGTGAGCGAACTCATGGGTGGGTGGAACTTATGAGTGGGCCTTATGGGCATACTCACCGTCAGGCCCTGGGGCCCAGACCTTGAGCTGTGTAAGGGGCCCCAAAAAATGGAGCTGCTTCCAATTCTCCCAGAACATTGAATTTTGTGACCACAGTTGCAAACAGCCTCCAGAGATCCTGTTCTACACCAGACCAGTGGAGCCAAACTGCAGCCCATCATCATCCTCATCTGCTTGTAAGTAGGCAATCTAGTATATTATTAGTGACACTAATCTATAATGTACCTCACATTAAAGGGACACTATAGCTTAATGAAGTGGTTCTGGTGTCTATAGCTGGTCCCTGCAGGCTTTTTAATGTAAACACACACTGTGTGCAGCACTGGCGTTAGTTCATATGGGTGGGGCATTGTGATGTCACATGGGGGGGCAGCAAATTTTTATTTTGTCTAGGGCGGCAAAAATCCTTGCACCGGCACTGATCCTGGGCAGGTGCACCAGTCTACTGGTGACCCACAGGAGGGGAGTGCACTGATTGCACTGCACTCTCCTCCTGTCCAGCCCCATCTTTACCGCAGTGCAAGTGCCCTCTGCCCCTAATTTACAGTGGCTCACACTCACAACAAGCAGTGCCTGGAGCCGTGAAGGAGCGGGTATGGCAAAGAGCTACTGATTAGCATAACATCAATATCCGTTATAAAACCAGGAAAAGGTGGGCATGGATGGTGAACTGATTTGGTGGTGCAATGGGCCACTTGACTGGTTTTGCCCTCCAGGCCTAAGGCTGCCAGCCCTCCCCTGTAACAGCCCCATCTATTATCTGGCCCTACTTACTATAGGTATCCCAGATTAGAATCTTATGTATTCACAGACATACTTCCTTCTTGGGATAATAGTTTAACCCTTTGGAGTCATTGTCACTAGATGCCAGGGTGTTCATTCACCAAACATTCAAACATTGAATTGTAGTGAATATAAAAAAATAA